ATTATATATATAGTATATAGAATTGTTATAATTATATATTAGTTATGTTAAATGATACAGATATTTATAGGCACTTAGGTAGTGTTAACACAGCTGGAGAACTAAGTGGAACCAGGTTATCACTTTGCAAGAGCTAAAGAGTTGCTTCTGAGGGAAGAAGCACAGAAGAGATTGCAGCCTGCAGAGACTACAGGTCACAATATGCAGAGCTCTCTCACTCAAGATGGAGCATAGTGGTTTGGGATGTGTTTCCTCTGAGCCTTTATTAAAAACAAGCAAGATGAGATTTTTTTAGAGCTCTACCACTGAGTATATTTTATATTTTCTGCATTCATGTTCTACAATAAAACAAGAGCAGAAACAAAATCTCTGGAGAATTGAATGTGTTTTACCTGTCACTTGTTTTAGTAATTGTGGAAATTACTTTTGCCCCCATGCAAATGCCTGAACGTTTCTCCTAATGTTGTCCCTCTCTTTGGAAAAGGAGAGGGACAATAAAGCTCAGAAAACTGTTTTTTGAAGACAAGTAACTGCCAGACCCAGTGCATTTATACATACATAACTGTGTGTGTATGTATGTTTGCATGTATGTGATTGATTAAACAAATAAATTGAGAACATGTATCTGAAATAAATACCTTCTGTACCATATACTTGTTCCTTATGGTGAGATAAATGTAAAGCTCTCTCTCTTTTCCATTCAACAACGCTTCTAATTTCTGTTTTATAACTACAGAGCTAATGATCCAGGAAGTGAGTCCCTGTGATGATTTGCTTCCAGAGAAACAAATAAGGAAGCAAGAAAAGGACACTTCTAAACTGCACCAATATAAAGGCAGCCTGGAGGTAAGAAATGAAGACACACCTGAGGGTCTCCTACTCAAAACCTAAGCCTATAGAATTCTTCTTCACAGAGAGCAGAGTAACAACAGTATAGCCCTGGCTTCAGCGTAGGTCAGCTGGGTTTGTGCTCTGGTATTTATGGGTAAACAAGGTAAATTAATAATATGGTTATTTTCTTATCAAGTTGTTTGCCTCAGGATGCAAAATAGACCATTTGTTCATGTAACACCAGAAACATTTTGGGACAGAACCTCCCCCGCCCAATAGCTCCCCTATATAGCCTACATATAGGATTACATGGTTGCATGGAAAAAATGATTGTTTTGTAGTAATGTGATTTGTGCCAGAAACTGAATGCTCTATCTGACATAGCAAGCAGAGGTTAAAGCCACCACAAGTAGGCTTTAACACTTAGCCTAACCACTAACAGTAGTACATTTATTGCCTGCATTTTATGGGAGCTTTAAGTAAAGAAGTAAAGCTCTACAGCTGCTTAATGGATCACCATCCAACTGCAGTACTGATGACAGACCCACACTGCAGCTCCCTGAGGAGCTGTCAGTAGCCCAGCACCTTACCTGTGCTCACATGATTTTACCTGCTGGAAGGGAGTCTCCTTGGCAGGCTGGCAGACATGCACTATCTCCACCTTGAATTTATGTCAAAGATTTAAACAGTAACAAAAAGAAGTAACAAAACCCAACCAACAACACCAAACAGGCTGCTGTAGACCCAGTCAATCCATAGTCAGACATACTTTATTCTTCTAGCACCTAAACATCTAACATGTTATTACTGGAATGAAACTTGCAAGTTGTTTACAGAGTTCTTATGTTACAAGTTTTCTTGTTTTTTTCTAGGTTATCTTTGTATCTTTGTGTTTTTTTCCCTGCATGGCAGTGGTAGGATACAGAGGAGCATTAATCCATACACTTATGCACATCTTTTACCCAAAGGAAATTCCAGAGGCAACCCCTATGCCTTGCAGAGGCATCACTGGTCTGTGTGTACAGGAGCACCCCTGCAGAGCAGAACAGCTGCTGATGCACAGCAGTGGGTGTAACGGGGCGTTTGCCCGCACGGAGCACAGGGTCTCACAGATTGCTGAGCTGCTCCCTCTGCGGTGCATGGTGTAGACCGAGTCAGTCAGAATCAGAGTTACTGTGTGTGAAGCTTTCTGATCATTTTTTTAAAACAATTTTCTACAAAAACAGTGTAACAGTTAAAACACGGGACTTCCCATGTGATTGTTAGAAACTCTGACCTGTCTATACAGGTTTCTATTCAGTTTAATAAAATGGTAGAAGATGAGGGAAACTTGTTAAAAAAACTACTCAGTTGCCTACACACCTCATAGGATTTACTGTGATTTTACTGCAGAGTAACATAGCTACCTTGCATGTTATAGCTGATAAACTGAAAATAAGTTTTTTGTATCCGTTGCCAAGGTCACAATTTACTTACTAGACTGTAACATAGTTGCAAGTTATTAAGGATTAAATCCCTGCACTAATTTGGTACAATACCATTCCAGCTCAGGTTAGAGTAAAAAAAAAAAGATAATTGGTATGTGGATACAAATTAAAGTTTAATATCCCATGCAGCTGTTTACATCTGCTTAATTAAGCAGCAGTGACTTCACATTAGCATTGCTATGATACCATAAATACACACTAGAGAAAAGGGTACAATCATGTCAGCCACCCTCCCAATGTCAAATCAATTCAAGTTAGGTACTTTTTATTTCAGTGTTGGTTCTTAAATGGCAAAAAAAAAAAAAAGTCTTCATGTTTGAGGAGGATCTTCAAGTCCTGATACATTCCGTTTTGGTACAAGTGCCACGATCTTATAAAAAGACTGTGCTCCTGCAGGCAGGGAGTTCAAGCACTGAACAAAGAGCTCTGATGGAATCCACTAACTTAAATGCAGTTGGGAGCCAGCTTTTTTTGCTCTTTTTTTTTTGGAGCCTTTACAAGAGTCACACAGTCATTTTGTACAGCAATTAGAAGGGAAATGAATACCCACCTAGAAAAAGGCGGCGCTGTTTGAACACTGATGACATTCTAACGCTTGGACTGCGCAGCGTGAGCTCGGTCCCAGGCATTGCCCAGCAGCTCTGGCAGGGAGCTGCCTGGTTTGCTTTCTGATTGAGAATCCCCCAAAGTAACACTGACACGCCTCAGGTGGTATCTTCAGAGGTATGTACAGTCAGGACAGACCGTGGATTAACACAAGATATCAATGTAACAACAAAACCTGTACTTTGGTCAGGACTGTCAAAGTCTGTCAAGCGTCAGCATAAGAACACAACCTCAGTTGGTGCCATTTTTAATGATTAGAAATAATACATTGTAAAACAAAAAGTGAAAAAATTCCAGCATGATACTTATAAACCAAGAACAAATAGAAAACAAAAAAGCATCTTTTTTTGCCTGATTTATAGTATTTATAATACAACAGATCGTTAGTCTGAGGTAATACCAGTAAGAACTTCTTAGTCCTTCAAGGACTGCTCAAAAACTAAGAACAGCGATAGTAATGCCTGTTATGTTAAAAGCCAGACCTGATTATTAAATCAAGCAAATACCCTTTTTTAGTTAGGGATCAGTGGTTGCAAGTATAAAACTGGAAATAAGTCTATACAGTAGGAGCCACAGAACGCTGTAGTCCTGCGTGGCACGTCGTTAGCCCCTGTCACTACTTCAGAGTACAGCGGGTTATGTAAAAATCAGACATTTCCACAGAGAACAGACTTTCTTCCAGAGAAGCCCTTAAGAAATTTAGAATACTGTTGGTTTGCATCAAATAGCCAAACGAAAGATGAATTCAGAAGCCCAAATTTTGGCATGAGGTAAAACCATGTGCATTTATTTCCTCTGCATTTTAGAATTAGTAAGCATAAAATTAAAACATTTGACTGTAATGAATTCAGTCATACAAGTGCAAGTCTTCGGCTAGAACGTATTTTATGGCAGTTTATTTTTAAAAAATGTACCAGTAAATCATAAAAGAGGGATTATGTCCATTTAACGTTTATTGAAGTATACAGGAGGTTTTCTTTAGAATCAAATATGAGCATGAATATATGGTCAAACGTAAAATCTATCAAATTCAGTGAAAATTTTCTGACTTTAAATAGTAGCTGTAAGAATGACCAATATATATTCTTTGTTACAACCGCCCTCACTCTACAAGTAAAAAAAAAAATAAACATTCAGTAAACATTCTTTCCTAAGGTAGTTTCCCTTATATATCAGTGATTTATCCATTTCTTGTATACATAACTTTTTAAACATACCAATCAGTGGTTCTCACAATTGAAAAATAAAAGCACAAAAAAGTTTACACTCTTGTACAGGTAAATAAAAGATCATCTTGAATTAAACTGTATATCCTTAAGGGCATAGTATAGTTTCAGTTTCATTACCTATTACATAATTAGCTTCTTACATACAAATATTGACATATTTGGCTTGTGCTTCAAAGCCTTTGTGTCTAGAAAGTCCACGTCAATGCAGCTCACAACTTGAAGTCGGTGGGGATATCTTTACTGCTGCTGGGTTTGACCTGGTCGTGCAGCATGGCCTCCTCTGCACTCGCCGTGGCGCCGCACTTGTCGGTGGGGTCCTCGCTGTCCGGGTCCAGCCCCTCGGGACAGGGCAGCTTGAGGAGCTCCTCCCGCAGCTGAGCCGTGTGGCGCTGCACACACAGAGAGAGGCCGGCGCGGGCGGCCGTGGTTAGAGCGACACTGCACGACACCTGGCAACGCGAGGCAACAACGAGAGGGGCGAACAGAAAAGGGGGCAGGGTACTGCTTATGGGGCTGGCTACACTCTTCCCCTGCACTGAAGGATCGGTGCTTCCCTTGTAGGGACAGAGTAGTTAGCAAGTGCTGCTAGGGACAAGCTAAAGGCAGCAGGCAGACCTGCAGCAAACAAGTGCAGCGCCTTAAATGCTGTGCTACCCGGCTGGCAGCTGAGTGGTGTTCTGTGCTCACGGCAGAAACGGGCTTGGGCTGGGAAGGTCATACAGTCAGAACAGCAATTTATAAAGAGCTTGTGATGCGCTCTGTTACAGAGACAGATGTGCACAGAGATTCGGATGCTGGGTGTGGTAACCAAGAGTAACTGCATTTTGACAACCGGTCACATTGAAAGAATGCAAGTCTAGCAATAGGAAAAAGAAGCCTTTGCAGTTTTTTTGCCCTCTTTTGCTCCTCAGGGGAAGAAAAGAAAAAAATAGGTCTGCTGTTTGTGTGGACACAAAATACACAAATGACAGCACTTGGCTAGGAAGGAAACACTGATAATGGTTATAACTGTTGATAAAAGTTAACATCGTGTAAAACTAATTGGAATTGCACACTGTTTAATAACTGTGCTCATCTATTCAAAAAGCTTGCTGTCTGGCAAGGAACTGATTGCAGTGCAACTTTATCAGAGACACCCACCCACTCTTAGAGAGGACAAAACAAACGCTCTGTGTCTTACATAAGTATTTATAGGACAGTCCAGGCACTAAAGGAAAATCTTACTTGCAGAAAAAAAATTACTGAGAAAGCAGAGTGCGCATACAATTTATCTCTTGGCAGCTGGGAAACTTAGGCTTGTTTACATGTTTTCAAGTTGCTGGGGTTTTCTTTCATTGTTATGATAAAACTCAGCTGCTGAGCAATTTCATTGCCCTTTGTCATCTTTGGATTAAAGAACATCAAATTACAAAAGCAAGTCTCACCTTTAGAGCTGCTGCGTGATGGGACATTGTCCTGCCTACCCGTTTGTCACTGCTGTACTGCTGTATGTCTGCTATCCACTCCTCACACTGAGCCATGATCTCCACTCTTTTCAAGTAAAAATGTTTGTGGATGACCTACAAGAACACATCCCGAATGAAGTTAACAGCAGAATCACATACTTCAATAATACAAACTTTGCAAGACTCCCACGAGACTAACGGGATATAAGGAACAAGCAAACAAACAAAACCCAATCAGTATGAGGGTAATTCAGTATTGAACCAAGCTGCAGATAAGTTGTGGAATTTCTGTCCTTGGAGGTTTCCAAGAGCCAACTGGAGAAAGCCCTGAGGAACCTGGTCTGAATTCAGGCGATCCTGTTTTGAGGAGGTTGTTGTCCTGGGCGTCTTCCAGTTCTGTATGAATCTCTGACTTACACGCAGCGCCTCCCACCGCAGCACCTGCTCGTGTTCTCTGGGTGAAGGGTAAAGCAGTGCCAGAAATACGGCGTCGCACCAGGGAAAGGAAGAAGGGACAGCAGAAGGCTGGACACGTTCTTCAGTTGGAAGACGATACGACTGTGCAGGCCCTACGTATGGATGTTTGTGCCTGCCTGAGGGGCAAGGTTACACAGGTGCAATATTAAGGCTTTTACTCTTGCTTTCACCGTCCCATCTTATTAAAGAAGCGTTTATTAAGGAAGTGTAAGCACCGGGTCTTCTCCTGTCACTAACCACGTGCTGCCTGAACAGAAAACCAAGCAGAAACCTTGCCAACAGTATGAGCATAGGAACATAACATGCTTCTGCATAGAGAAGAAGCTGCTGTGGAGGAGGCACACCCAGTTACATGCACTAGGCAGAGACAGCACCTCTGGGGACACCAAAATTCCCAGGCACTAATAGTTGAGATGCCCGTGGTTTGGGTTGGAAGCAGTATTTGTAATTTTGGTATTTCTGTACAGATCTGAGTTTAAAAAAACCCCAACCAATCAACCCTCAGACAAAGTTGTGAAACTGACTTAGTGCTGGCTTCTCTTAAGCAGTTTTAGAAAACTCTGCCTGGTGAAAGAAACAATAAAATCAAAGAAATTTTATTAAGCACAGAGAGTTCTTGGCAATATTGCAACATAATTGACAAAATCATCTTTCCCCCTAGAGGTTAGAGAATATAGCTGTCTAAAGAAAAACTGCCTATTGAAAGCATAATTGACTTCGGTTCTGGATGTAATCCTTATACCCATAATGGAGCTTGGAAGAACTCCCAAAGACTGGCAGTTTAGATCTCCTGAGCCTACCTGTCGTTTAAGACACTGAAGAGAAGAAAGCTCAGATCTGTGGAGACAAAAGATCTCAAGAGCTGAAGGATCTACATTCTTTCTTAGACCTCAGTTTTCAGGATGCCTTTGCACTTCTGTTGCTGAATGATCATCATTGCTAAGGTTTCTAACACAACCCTACAAAAAAACCTAGAAGCCTTAACAAGCAGCTAGGCTCCCAGAGAATTGCTCAGATAATCTGTACCAGAGATGCATTTTCATTTGGATGGGGCCACAGAGATGTAGCCCTCTTCCAAAATTCAGCTACTGCATCAGAGAAAAATGTCATGCATTCCAGTGCATAATTTCCATTTTTTGAAGAGCAAATAAAGATACACACCAGTTTACATAAGGCTAGGGAGTATGTATTCAGAGATGCAGGAGGGCTTTCCAATGTTGCTCAAGTTGATAAGGTAGTGGGTAGGATCCCAAGCTTAAGCCAGTACAATTGGGTTTTTAACACAAAAGCAACCTATGCTCGCCTCAATCTTCTCCTTACAGGACAGGCTATCAGAGCTTCAGATTTCTTCTCAGAATCTCGAGGGTTTCATCATACTGTCCTAAAGACCTCAATGCAGGGAAAACCAGAAAACCGTATCTTGGAAACAAGGAAAACTGCAGTTACATAAACCAGAACAAAACAATTTGGATGCAAAGCTTTTAAGTGCTGGTCAGTTCTCTTCTGTGCAGCAAAACTGTTGTCTGTTCACAGGTAACAGAAGGGAGTTTCAGATGTTCATGATACCTCTGCAAACTGCTATCTACCTCTTAATGCTACTTTCCATTTATGTGTGTGAGGCCTTTTGGTACTTAAAAGGGGCTTATAAGAAAGATGGGGACAGACTTTTTAGCAGAGCTTGTTGTGACAGGACAATGGGTAATGGTTTTAAACTAAAAGAGGGTACATATGTTCAGAGATGATATAAGGACACTTTTTCTTCCCCTACAGTGAGGGTGGTGAAACGCTGGAACATGTTGCCCAGAGAGGTGGTAGATGCCCCATCCCTGGAAACGTTCAAGGTCAGGTTGGATGGGACTCTGAGCAACCTGATCTTGTTGACGATGTTTCTGCTCACTGCAGGAGGGTTGACCTTTAAAGATTCCTTCCAACCCAAACCATTCTATGATCCTGTGTGTGGCTCAGCTGATCTCAGTCCTAGCTACACATCACATTTAGGAAGGTAGTGGCTGTGTTGTTTTAACATCTGCCTTTGGTAAGGGACGAGTCATCTGCGCTCAGGGAATGATCGGTTTTCCACTGAAGCACCACCACTGGGACACACCTTAGTTCTTCACCTTCCTGAAGAGGGGTGGGACGTCAGCTGACAAGCTGCCTTTGTCATACAAGCAGTAAAAAAGTTAAGCTGCAGAGTAAGCACGATATTGCTGAGATTCTTTTCAAAAGAAAAGTGCAGTAGCAGCAACTGGGATTCATTTGCCAAATACTGTAATATTGCATATCCTTCATTTCTCTATGTGTGAAAAGAAAGATGGAGTATTATCATCAGGGAGCCCGCTGCCTTCTTGTATCTTCAATCAATTTAAAATTACTGTAATTGGAGAACTTTTCTTGCAGAAGTGAAACTGTTACATTTAGCTAGGAAAAAAGGACCTATTAGCAGAGGTTATTCGATTATATGTCACAATATTATCTTTACCATGTTCTTCAACTTATTGAGTAAAACATTTAAGAGGCAATTTAGAACAGCCACCGTGTTTTTCTTCATTAATCCAAGACACCAGAGTACACTGCACATGCTTTTCCACCTGCATTATTTAACTCCTGTTGGCAGGTGAAATGTCTGTGTTTTCTTATTCCACATGACACAGTGATTCTAATGGGAAAAAGATTTTGCATTCTAAAGAATGTTTTTATTGACAGCAAAGGAAGGATGGAAGAATACCTGCTCAATTAGATGCCACACTTAGCAATGTATAAAACCCTGAAATAATGGGGGTTTTCTTAGCATTTTAGTATGCAGACAATTGAAAGCATAGGTGATGCTACAAGATGGTTCCACCCCTCAGTTCAGAACTGGCAACAGTTTTGGTAGTTCAGAGTAAAGTGCATTTTTCTCCGAGTGTTTGCAGGTAGCACTGTGAGATGACTCATGTTTGACAAACCATTTTGCATTAATATTCATACAGATTTTCTATCTTTTATTTTTTCCTTGAATGCTCTGCCATATACACCCAAGTCTCTGAGATCTAACTGACCTGCTCTGAGAAAGGAGCTGGACTACAGACACTGACAAAAGTCCCTAACAACTACATTAGTCTAAGATGCTATGGGTGGGTTAGTCCATTTTCAGGAATGTAAACAAAATTTGATTTCTTTCAAGTAATTTTTTTTAACACCGTGTGAATGCATGAATGTTAGTATTACTTTTATCAGCATCAAGGCAGTTGTATTCAAAGGCATTGATTTCTAGTTTAGCACAGACACTTTCTGGATCCTCCCATAAATAACCTACAGGCTGATACTTGTTTTAAAGTATGTTTCCAGTTTGCATTGGTTTTTGTGTATCCAGCATGCCTCCTAAAACTTGCTTCAAATTCATGCTTCTTGGAAAAATGTTTCCTGTTAGCTGTGCTGACTAACACACACCGAGGGCCCATCTGTAGGGACGATCAACAGTTTCCACATGAAATGTAAAAGGTACCACCTGCCATTAAGAACGAGCCAAGCTGCATGAACCAGGTTTTATCAAACTCTGTCAAACCTCCCTAAAGGTCAGTCCCAATTTGTGTGCATTCCCCTCTCCCAGGAAAGAATCTGTGAAGTCAGGTGTTCCTTGTTCCCTTCAGTCTCCAGAGACAGTTGCTCTAGGGAATAAGGAGGCTAAACCAGACATCTCCTGCGGGATGTTTCTCAATATTTGCAGTATTCTTAACAGTCAAACAAGAAAAATAAACCAACAAGATCTTTACAGCTTTTCACAAAACCTACCTCCTTAAAACATGGCGATGGATTTCTGATTTGTTCAAGCATTGCCCACTTGACCGTTGCCTGTCGTATGTTTCCATCGTATTCTCTGGAGCTCTGGGTCCCACTGGGAGTACCTCTCGATCGTTCGTAACCTGGCTCATTAAAATATGGTTCTGCTACCAGGATTAGGGATTGGACAGACACTAACACCTGTTAAGAGAAGAAACTAAATATTAGAATTGTGCCACCCACTTGTTTTCACAAATATACATAGTTTTGCTTACCTTATATGCAAACCCACTTCTATGGCAAAATGCTGTCACTTGTAATAGAGCTCTCAAACCAGAACTGTTACTACACAAAGAACCCAAGTCCTATGACCAGTGTCCTAACGACTGAGAAAATTACAAATAAAAGGCAAAAAATAACGAAAATACCAATCAAAGAAAATTTTTTAAGGAAGAGATGTCTGATTGCACCCTTTTGTGAAAGAAAGTGTATTTCTTTATCAAAGTCTCATTCAACAGTTCCTGAACTTTTCCTGTGGCTGAGTGTACCAATTCTTCTAATTCTTAACTAGATGGGAAAGGAACAAGGGAGATAAAATGCAAACCACTCAAGTTAAATTTTAGTGTACATGCTCTCCCGCTTTTCTTTCAACTGCATTCAATTAATTTACATATGTTTTTACCCTTTAGCTTCAGATTTTACATGTAACACTGTGTGTCAAATGCCATTAAAAGTAAACTTCAGTATTTTGAGATAAGAAAAAAAGTTTTAAGTACAGTATCAACACAGAACCAACTATTAAGTGATAAGGAAATAACCATTTTCCCCTTTTCAATTTTATTATCAAGTATATGTGGGAGTAGATGCTCACATCCATACATAAAAGGCACCTAAGTATATAGCCAAATATTCCTAATATAGAACAAAGAGTTAAATAAATCTGTAGGGCACTTAGGAATCCAAATGTATACTTATTGCATGATTTGATCGCTTGACAATTTTTCCAGGATTAGAATGTTCACCCCTGTCAACTTCTTGTTGTACTTAATGAAAACTGTTACATGGAAAAATGTAACTAAATAGGTAGAAAGACATAACTGACTTTAAAAAATTATTAGATTTTATGTACTTAGGAATAAGTCCAGCAAAGATTTTAGGGATTACAATTCTGTGGCACAAACCTAGTTCCAGAACTGTAAAGAAGGACAGCCCAGAGCAGCTCAGTGTTTATCCTGCTGGATAGGGCATGTGGCTGCACGCTGGGAAATGGGACCTGGGATCCCCTGTTGGGCCAAGACGGAAAATTCAGCAAGTTTTCCTGTTTCCCAGGCAGGTGCTCCAGCTGCCTCCTGTTACATGGCATCGTGTGCACCACCACATTGTCTCCCATGCCCACCATCTATTCACCTAGAAGCAGCCACGGCTGTTCCGCATTACATTTAAAAATTACAGTACAGATAAATGCATTAAAATATACAGCATGTGTCACAAACCAGGTCCCAGCAAGGAAATGGCCACTGAAGATATTAAAGAGAATATTAATGCCAATGTGCTAAACCAAGGTAGAAATCTTCAGGTGCAACGCTTCAGGTACCTAAGGTGTTTTGGTGATCTGTGGCCTTTACATGGGTCTGGAAGTAGCTGGGGTTTGCTTTTTTAAATTTTCTATTTTAGATACATTTTTTTTTTTTTAATAGCTACAGTTGAGAAATTTGCTACTATGCAGCATTGTAATTTCTTGGCCTTAATAACCAGCTGTTTCTTTGAATTATAATTGCAACAAATGAGAAACTCTAAATGGATCTTCCAGTTTCATTTGTGTTATAAAAATTAATTTTTGAAGTATTTTGGGTGGTCTGACAATAGTTTAATCTCTGAGCCAGAAAAAACATGTAGTGTCTAATTCTGTCCAAGCAATTTATTCAGTCCTACAGCTGTTTTCCACTGAAAAGCTACAAAGTGTTTTTCTCCAGTGTAAGGGGGCGACTTTTTCTAACAGCTTTCTTGCTATTTTCAAAATGAAACCCTAAAAAACCCTCTAAATTTTGAAACTTAAATACTTCATGACATTTGTAACAATCAAATATAACATTTTAATCTAAGAAAAAAGACTTCAGTAAGAAAATAAGACTTCATAATACTTGTACCTTTCTACACTGATTTTATCATTATAGTCCAAAATTTCAGTTGGTCTCTTGATAAGGAAATTGTACCTCTGGAAAGTGACGCTGCATAAAGAACCACAATATAGATCTCCAAATCGTAGCTGTCACCTTGAAGGGAGAGGGAACATACCTTCAAGAGGGAAAATCCCACAATCTCTCTTGGACACCTGTCCTAGTGTTTTGATCACTCTCATAGTGAAAAAGTTCTTCCTAATATTTAATCAAAATTTCCCATGTCCCACCTTGTGTCAATTGGTACATGTCCTAGTGCTCTCCATCTTTAAGAGGTATCTGGTTCCATCTTCCCTGTACCTTCCCCATTCAGCTATTGAAGACAGCAGTAAGAACTCTTTGCCATTGGTCCAGCCACTTTTCCACCCATCTATAATCCACGCCTCACCAATTTGGCTACAAGGGTACCAAGGGAGACTGCATCAGAGGTCTTGATGAAGCCAAAGTAAGCTACATCCACTGCTCCACCTTAGTGCAGAGCCAGTCACCTCACTGTAGAAGGTGGACAGGGCAGGTTATGCAGGCGCTATTCACTCCCAGCAAATCCACACTGGCTCTTCTCTACACTTTTCTTGTGTACTTGAAAAAAGCTTCCAAGAGGATTTGCTCCATAATCTTCCCAATGACCCAGGTGTGGCTGACCAGTCTGCAGCTCCCCAGATCATCCTCCTTGCCCATTTTGGTGTTGGGTGTGAGATTTGTCAGGGAGCTCCCTCAATTGTTCTGACCTTTCAAAGCTAGTGGCTCTGCAGTGACATTACCTGGCTCCCTGAGCGCCCCTGGACACATGAGATTTTGTTCCATGGGCGTGTGGGTTCAGTCACCTTGCATACCTTGCCTCTGCTGTGGGCAATTCCTCATTCTCACAGACCTTCCTAGTGAGGACTCAGTGACCAGGGAAAGCAAACCTTACCCCGAGGAGTGCGGCAGAGATGACCGCTGCCTTTTCTAGGTCCTTGTCAGTAGGTTCCCTGCCCCACTGAGCAGCAGGAAAGCTTACGGAAAATGTCACCTTGTGCTGCCAACACATTTTTAAGAAGCCTTTCTTGTTCCCCTTTATATCCCTTGCCATTTTCAACACCAGCTGAGCTTTGATTTTCTTAATTTCTCTCCTGAATGCTTGGCCAATGTCTTTACTTCTAACAGGTACCCCATCACCTTCTTCCACCTTCTGTACACTTTCTTTTTTCTGCTGAGCTTAGGAGGGAGCTCCTCGCTTACCCACGCTGGCTTTCTGCTGCTCTAGCTTGACTTCCACACACTGCAATTGACCACTCTTGAACTTTCAGGAGACTGATCAATCAGCTCTCCCAGGCCAATTCCTTAACAAGCTGAATTCTCTTCTGCTGAAGCCCAGGGCTGTAATTCTACTATGCTGAAACAGGAACTGTACAGTCTTTTAGGATTTGGGACAGAAAACATACATTGTGCTATGTAATAATTACCCCAAGGAAGGAATAAATTCAGAAGGTGCCACAGGAAATCAGCCACTGCAGGCTTTACTCTTATTTAATGTGTGTACTTATTAGTCAGTGCATTTCTAAGACATCAAGCTGAGAAGTATAAGGACTGAATGTCCTAATAAATTCCAGTCTAATTTAATAGTAGTTGTTATTGAACATGGTATACCTACACTTTAGCTCCCTTCAGCTTTATTCCCCTATTCAGTTTACTGGTAGGCTTTGAAGGAGCACCTGTACAGCTGGCACTAGTATACTTCACTTTCTCATCTCTCACTATGTGGAGCCTGCTTTGTCTTCACCATAAACAGCTTGTGTTAGAGACATTATATGACTTCCAGAAGGTGATGTCATCTTCCTTTTTTTTTTTTTTTTAATAAAATATTTGAAATAATCCAAAATCACCCAAGAGAAGTCCAGGCAGAGAAAGAAGGAGCTGCATACATGAAGAGCCACTCCTCAAGACCAGACCAACAGAAATCCAGGTTGGAAAGAGCACTTTGAAGAACCTGTCTACTCTACAGTGTTTCTTTTCTGGTGTTCCAAGAACATTTTTTTTGACTGTTTGAAGAAGAAAATTCTTGTTTAAAAGCAGTAGAAAAGGAATCCTTAGGACCAAACGACCACATGCTACTCCTAAATGACACCTACTGAAGAGAAAGAATAAATGCTCACCTGCAAAAAACTCGATGTTTGGGGATTCCATTTCTCTTCTGGCCTCCCATGCCATGTGTTAAGTATGCTTAAACACACCTGTAAAGTTGACATTATTAATACCACAGACATGTTAAAATTTTTCTGCTTGTGCAGAACAGAAAACATCACATTTAATTTTTAGAATACACTTACACAAGAGTTTTAAAAAGACAGATTTGATTCCTGTGAAACTAATTTGAAATGAAAGCAGATAAAAATAACGTGCATAAGCAAGAACAGCATGTTAATAAATGAACAGAACAAGGCAGATTACTTTTCTTCAAGGAAAACCCATGGATTCTAGGGGCTCCAAAAATAAATGAATCACAAAAACTATCTGATTCTTTACTTTCCTCTTTAAATACTGTTCTAACACTTGTTGTGGTTTTTAGAGACAGTCGTTCTGCTTAAGCATGTGAAAGGTCATTTCTGTCATGTGGACTATCAAGGTACTGAAAATACTCCTTAACTTTTATGACTGATCTGGACTTTAAGGGAGTCTATGGAGTTCTTGAACTTTATCACAAAATGGAACAGAGACAGAGAACACAAAGAGACAAAATATACAGGAGAAATTTAGAAGCCAGTATTTGCCAAGGCAAGCTACGTAAATAGAAAAGGAGAAAGTCTCCAGTATGAATTACAATCTCTATCCATATTAAAAGAAAACCCCGTGACTAGCACTAGCTTATGAAAACAGGGAGCATGGGGAATCTGTGAATGACTGTGGAATAAGGGAAAACACTAGCCTATGGATTAAACGTTTACATGAAAATCCCCAAAAGCTGAAGAAGTGCCACAGTGCTACAGCCAAAGCTATTCTGTGGGTCTGTGCTTCAGTGGAGATATACATGTAACCATCTCTGTAGAGGATTTCATGTGTGATGATTTGCAATACAAACATGCATCTGCCTGATTGGCACTTCACGTTTTGGAGCCTTTAAAATGAGCCACAACGTACCAAGGAGATGGTAGGTGAGAAAGGGGAAAGCTTGTTTGGTTTAGCTTTTAGTATTATTTCCAAAAGCTTTATCATTTTTTGAGAAAACTGTCAGTCAGTCCACATTTTACACTTCCTTTTACAAAGCATACTGAGGTTAAGGAAAGTCTATCTTCCCTCAAGAAAAGGCACTTTTGCATGGAAAAAGAGACAAGGCACTTGGCAAACACATTCAGTTGCAGCTGATATGAAGCATAATTGGCCATGGAAAGAACCCTGGGTATTTCAGCGAGCCAGAATAGACTTCTGCCTGGTTAGTTTGGCAAAGAAGGTGGAAAAGAACATTTTTTATGGTCAAAATTACTTGCATTTTGGTCCAGCTCATAAAGGCTTTCAAGAATCTCCAAGACTATTCAGAGCGAAGATCATTCCCCATTTAATCCCGGAGTGGAAGGGGCTGGATATTATGTAGTCCAACCCCCCTGCCAAAGCAGGTTCACCTAAAGGTGGTTGCCCAGGGCCATATGCAGGTGGGTTTTGAATATCTCCAGAGAAGGAGACTCCATGACCTGTTCCAGAGCTCCATCACTCTCAAAGTAAAGAAATTTGTCCTTATGTTCAGATGAAAGTTCCTGTGTATCAGTCTGTGCCCATTGCCCATTGTCCTGTCACTGGGCACCACTGAAGAAGAGTCTGGCCCCATCCTTCTAACATCTTCCCTTTAGGTATTTTTAAGTGTTGGTAAGATCCCCTCTCAGTCTTCTCCAGACTAAACAGCCCCATGTCTCTCATCCTTTCCTCATAAGAGAGATGCTTCAGTCCCCTCATCATCTTTGTTGCCCTCTTTTGTACTCTCTCCAGTAGCTGCCTGTGTCTCTTGAACTGGGGAGCCCAGAACTGGACACAGTACTCCAGACGTGGCTTCATTAGGGCAGAGTAGAGATGGGGAAGAACCTCCCTCGACCTGCTGGTCACACCTTTCTTAATGCACCTCAGGATACCATTGGCCTTCTTGGCCACAAGGGCACACTGCTGGCTCATGGTGAACTTATTGTACACCAGGACTGCTAGGTCCTTCTCCGTAGAGCTGCTCTCCAGCAGGCCAACCCCCAACCTGTACTGGTTCATGTAGTTACTCTTCCCCAGGTGCAAGACCTTACACTTGCTCTTTTTGACCTTCATTAGGTTCCCCTCCACCCAACTTTCCAGTCTGTCCAGGTCTCACTGAATGGCAGCACAGCCTTCCCATGTGTCAGCCACTGCTTCCACTTCTGTATCATCAGCATACTTGCAGAACACTCACTCTGTCCCTTCATCCAGGTCATTCATGAATGTGTTGAACGCCTGAAACTGTTAAATCACTCTTCATCTCAGTTTGAAGACCAGTTTTAGCCAAACAGCTTCCTTCAGTATGTTAGGAGGGGCTAGATCATTTCATTGCAAAAGGAAACTAGTTTCATTCATTTAGCTTCCTTCTTATATCTATACAGAAGAACAAAGCTGACCTACCTTGCCATCATTGTAAAGGTTTGGATTAAATCTCACACTGTGGCCTCCAGTTGTTTCCAGATTCACAAGTGGAGGGGAATTAGGATAGTCTTGTGGAAAATATACATCAAATTCAAAGCAACCATTTGCATAAGGGGTGTCTGCAGGACCAGTAATGAGAACCTACCGTTGTAAAAAAAGAGATGACAGTTTTTTAAAAAAAAAACAACTTATATTTGTCTCACAGTTGAGATTTTTATAAGTTTTATTTCCACATGCTTCTTACCAGAAAATACTGTTAGACATGATAATTATATGCAGGCTGTCAGTCTGTTCATTCTGATACTCTGAGCATGTGAAGCCCTCCACTAAAACCCATTTCTCCAGAGTACAAATGGAAAGCCAAACAGAAGAAGCAAAAACTCCACCTCCGATTGGATGCTACTTATTAACAGAATTTTTCTCCAAACTTCAGGTCCAGAAATACTCAGCGTACTTCTCCATACCTACTGCTTTTACTCTACTTCAATGGTCCTATTTAAAGATAGATATTGACCATAACAGAGTAACAATATTAAACTTTTTCCTTCAGAAGAGCTGGAGAAGAATGAACCTTGTTCTGTGAGTCTCCTTGGCGAACAGAGCGCTCCTGGGGTAGATGGATTCTCCCTGACCCCCACCAAGTTATCTCAAGATCTTGATCAGATGCTAAAATATTACTACTTACATTAAAGTTTGGACAGCCAGTTAAAAGTACCCATTAGATACTTCTCAGGTTTTTTTAAGACTTAAGGCACCTCCTTAAACTTTTATATGCCAAACTACAGGAGAGAAATAAAAATCATTTTGCTTCTTTACCTTCATGATGTCAAGGCGCTCCTCGTCGCAGCGTACGAAGACGCTGGATGAGGAGGAGAGGGGCAGTGAGGTGGAAAGGGTGACGGCCTCCTGGGCGAGGCGCCGGGCTCTGGCAGCACTGTTGGCGTCACTGGCGTTTTTCACCTGAGACATGTAGTGGTAATTTACTTTAAAAACCAATTTTCCGTCATCATCTTCGGAAACCATTTCAAATGTATCTAGAAGAGAAGAAAATTTTAATGCATCCGGAAAAGAGTGAAGTTAATAATGGATGAGCCGTGGCTAAAAGCTCCGAGTGTTTAAATCAGGAGTTTAATCTGCATTATACTAATGCAAAAAAGACGTTTTTTGTGAGTTAGCAGTGATCACAGAAAACAAGGCATTAACAGTCCCCAGGTCAAATTGATTTCCGCAGTGAATTTACAACCTTTCAGATGCAACTTGTCAAACATACACCATTTCTGATTTGGAAAGCTACCAGTTACTCCAGACCAGGAATGCAAAGACCCTTAAAAATACACGGCACTGCTAATACAGGAATTGGTGTGAAGCAGAGTGCCAGCAGTATTCAGTTGTGTGGTGGTTGCAGTGTTATTAAGGAATCATAAATAATTACAGTGAAGCTGGTTTTCTTTAACCACTTACTACAGAAAGTCTGTAGCACAGCTGCCAGGGTGAAAAGCTACAATTACAAACCTCCCCACCTCCAATCCTTGGCACGCACCCCACAAACATTTGGAGGAAAATCCCTTACAAATACAACACTAAAGATATGTGATTGCAAATGTTGTCACTGCAACTCCAAAAATACTCAAAGAACACATTTTTGCAATAATTTTATAGCTCTTTTTGGGCAAGATACTATTAGTTCTTTATTTTTTTTTTTTTTTCTTTAAATTCATTCACTTTCTGGCCAAAATTCCCACCGTTCTTCCAAATGCAACATACTGCACTCCATGAAAGGACACAATGAAGTTTACCACTGTTTCCTTTTCTAAAAAAAGTACATTTTGACCTAGATTCTGGTCCACTTAAAAAAGCAAAACCTACACTAACAAATATATAGAGAGTCATATATGAATTTTTAAAAAAGCCTACTAACATTTCAATATAGATTGGGGACTGAAAGACTCACAAATCATTACTGGAATGGAAACACAAAACACCATCATTGAATTCCTCTGGTCCCTTGAATTAATCTATTGTTAAAACAGTTATGAGTTCAAAGAGCACATTAGTTGGTAACTTTTAAAAATAATTATATATATAT